GATTCAAAAAGATTAATCCGATTTCAAAGCACCATATTTTTACAAACGTGAGACGCCTAGGAACCAATCACAATCCAATTGAAAGAGGGGGTCATAGAGTTTCTGACTGTCAGTGGAAGATGGCTCCCTTCAGTCTGCAAGGAGATGAGACCCCTGAGCAGAAAGCGCTCTGCGTTCTCCACTTCAATAAGAGTGAATCCATCATAACTGTGCAGCGTGATTTTCGTCGGCAGTGAACCTCCAACAGCTCAGAGTGTTTGTCGTTGGTTCTACAACACTGGATGATCTCCGAAATCACACTGAAAGAGCCGTGAGTGCAGCGACACCCGACATGCTCAATCAAGTATGGGATGAATTTGACTATGGCGTTGATGTTGTCTGTACAGCTGGAGGAGGTTCATACTGAGCACCTGTAAAATTACATAATAAACTTTATGCTCATTTAAACCATTTACAGTTTACTGCATTGTTCTGTGATGATGTACAAGAGAAATAAATCACTTTGAAAATGGATGAACCTTTTTGAATCACGCTGTATAACGTTAGCCCACCGCAAACCTACATAAAACGGCTGAAATGTTGATTAGGCTAAAACTGGCTAAGAAAATCCAAAACAAGCGTTGTTGTGCTGAATGCCCCTGGCTTGAACCTGCTAGTGTGAAACTGTGGCTCTGCAGACAGATATTATTTTGTTATAAGGGATTGATCACTGCAGGGTGGCAGTCATATGACAATAGATCACTCTCATGCTTATCATACTCCTGCCATAACATCCCTATTTGTCATTCAGAATTCACCAGATAAAGCGGTCAGACGGAAAATTAGGTTCGGAGATGTTTTCATTTCTCTGGACTGGACTTGCTGATCTCCATTCAGTACATGATACCAAGCTCCTCTAACATTTGTAATATAAATCAGTCAGATGGCAGTAAATCAATGACACTGTGATATCCTGAGATGAGCTGCAACACCATGATATCACATGTTAATTAAAAATTAGCCCTTAAATTCAATGCGTCAGCCTCTGTTTATCAAAGCCAGACATTTTCGAATTTACTGCTGTGAAGAAACACAACAAAAACTCCGAACTGTTTGTTTCCGCCTTCATCTGCTCTTTCGGTTTATGTAAGAACGCCAGTGGTTCCGTAAAGGCCAAAGCTTAAATGTCATAGCAACACCTCACTGTCAAGCGTGTGCGTGTGGCCTGTGGCTTTTTCTCTCTCCAGAGTGTGTTCTGTTCATTTTTCTTCGTTCTTTTCATCTCTTTTTGAGTCCAGTCAACTAGAGGGCACCTTCAGCTGCGCCCACAGAACGTTCGCTGATGTAAGTCGGTCATTGTAATCACTGAGACACAGTTCACCAGATCAGGATGTTTACATACAAGAAAGAACATATTTGAGGTGCAGCTCTCTGTGATTGGCTTTAACAAGCACTGGTTGGGTGAGATCCGAATGGATGGTGGTTTAATTGACTTTAGGTTCATGTTGTATAAAACAGTATGTTCGGTCTGTAATTGACAGTTTAAAAACTTAATTATGACCAGACTTACACCACAAACAGGAGGTGGGATTTGCATTGACACCTAATTTCCTGACCAGCTGTGTGTTGAAAAGTAATCCATCATTCAGTGCAGAGTAAAAATCCATACCCTTTTTGTTTTTAATGATTTACAATTAATTGGCTACTCTGGTTAATTAAAATCGAACCCAGCATGCTTTAAGTAGTGGCAGGGTTGTTTTAGATTTCAGTCTGCAGAGACCCCCTGTTTCGATCGCCTGTAGTTTCCTTATGAGACAAATGGTCGATTAATTACTCACTGTTTTCCTGTAGGTTCAAGGGCAGCACCTTGTTTTTTCTTTAGAATCCTTATTTATTTATTTGCTTACAAGAAGGAAAAATGGAGTCAACAATATGATTGACAAGATTATTTGATGTAGTGTGTGTATGTATAGTGGCGAGCGCGTGCGCGTGTGTGTGTATACACTGATCAGACATAACATTATGACCGCCTCCTTGTTTCTACACTCATTGTCCATTTTATCAGCTCCACTTACTATATAGGTGCACTTTGTAGTTCTACAGTTACAGACTGTAGTCCATCTGTTTCTCTGCATACTTTGTTAGCTCCCTTTTACCCTGTTCTTCAGGGGTCAGGACCCCCATGGACCCTCACAGAGCAGGTACTATTTGGGTGGTGGATCATTCTCAGCACTGCAGTAACACTGACATGGTGGTGGTGTGTTAGTGTGTGTTGTGCTGGTCTGAGTGGATCAGACTCCAGCAGTGCTGCTGGAGTTTTGTAGAACTACAAAGTGCACCTATATAGTAAGTGGAGCTGATAAAATGGACAATGAGCATAGAAACAAGGAGGTGGTCATAATGTTATGCCTGTATAAACAAACAAAAAAGATAAAACGTCTGAACTCAGCTTAAAGTGGCCCCTTGTACCCCTTTTAAACCCATCTGTGTTTCAGAAAAATGACTGCAGAGCTTAGTAATCCCTTTTCTTTTTTTCACCCCTACCCCTTGTTTTTGAGGATCACCTTGGAACTGAGTTACAAGTAGTAGTGGTTGAAATGTTCCCCTGTGAAATGAGACCCTCAAATAAAAAGAGCATTACTTCATTTACAGCTACCAGCGCTGCTCTGTAGGCGACCCTGCCAGTCTGCAGTGACAGCAGAGGAGGGTAAAGTTCAGCTCCTCACTGCTGAGCTTTAGTTACATTTAGGGAGTCATATGCCTTCAAAGAGGGGGGCAATTATTTATTATTATCTCAACACAAATCTGGACACCCTACCTCTAGACGTGAACATGCAAAACAGAGGGGTAGGGCTAAGTGGTAGGGGCGAGGGGTGAAATGGGATTGGGCCTAAATGTGCTAATGGGCTTATAGCGTATGTGTGGAACTCAGTAGTGGAACTTTCCTCACAAATACACTGATTATCATTTGAATACATGCAAAAATATAGACCTGTTCTCATTAGGACTGGCTCTGGTGTCATGCATTCATAATTGGACCACATAGCGACATGTTACCTGTGGCGTTTTGGCTTGTTAGAGTGAGCTGCATGCAGGTTTCTCTTAGCTCATCTCTCCTGTCTTTTTGAGTACAGTAAGCTACAGTGCCCTGGACTGTATTGACCGATTGTGTATTGGACTTGCTAATCACTTCTCACAGTCCTTGAATGAGCTTTCTGGACACATGAACACTCAGACAGCCTTCATCATAAGCTGACCTTCAGCGGCGGAGGCCGACTCTCACTCAGGAGCCTCGTGTCGGAGCGGCCGTCTCGCTGCTGTCAGCTGAGCGCTGACGGGGAATATGACGGGCTCCCTGTTAGAGGTGGACATGCCGTGTTGGTGGTATGTGATTCAGTATGAGGAGCTGGTGCAGAAAGGAAGCGTCCAGCGCTGGTGGCAGATCCTTTGTATGGTTCTTCTTAGTTGCAGTCGTGGTGCTCCCTGAGCTGTCTCTCTGTCTGTCAGCTCCGGCCTCCTGGGCACATTTCGCTCAGGCTCAACACCCCTCTGCTGTTCCACCGGTGACCTTCACTCACTGTGAACAGCTCTGTTTTTAATTTGAATTCTGTTAGGGGTGTTTTAATCTAATTTTATTGTGATGGTCCCAAATAGTATCTACAGATATTCAAATGAATAAACTATGTGGTGATTCTTTGTTGATCATCAGTAGGGTGAGGGTTAAGATCAGGTTTAGGTTTGGGTCTAGGTTTGAGGTTCAGAGTAGACTTACGGTGAATGCTTTAAAAAAAATTGTTGAATTTTAAAAGGTATGTTTTACATTTTTCATGTGTTCTATTTAGGGCTGTCAAATGATTCAAATATATTGTCTTATTTGCTCAAATTTGTCCATAAAGAATGATTTACTCTTTAAAAATAGAAAAATTTCATTCATTAATTCAGTTCAGGTCTGATATACGTAATTGATCTCTGTTCTGATTGGCTGCCGTGTGCTGGTCCTTACCTGTTCAGGCTAAAATACATGGAACAAACTCTTAGATTCAGATTTAATCATCTGGAACATCAGAAAAAATAACCTTAAACTGCTCCATCCAGATTTGTAGATCCTTTGGAAGGCTGTAATGATCCAGTTGCTTCCTGACAGCCATGAACAGCACAACGTTTAATCATTTCCCCCACATCTTCCACTCTAATAACTCTGCAGGAACGACACTCCGCATCACTTCAGCATGACTAGGTGGGGCTGAACTGCTGTATGCCGAAAGGGTGATGATATGTAAATGTGTTCATGGTTGTGACATCACAACCTTGCTTTTCTCCCCCCATACGTGGACTGTATGGAGTGGGAGAATAAAGTAATACTGAGTAATATTACCAAACCCTTTGAATAAAGCTTTGTAATAACGAGACATTTTTACTGTTTCTGATGTGGAGTTATTGGAGGGTGTGAATTAAATCAGCAGCACTGATTTCTTTCTTCCCTCCAGGGAGGTTTGTGGTGTCTGGCAGTGCTCTGTGTGTGTGTGTGACTGTTCTTTTACTGCTCTCAGTGGGGAATTTTTCACTCGCATTCTATAAGCAGTCATTGATGTCTCCAGTTTTATTATTTCATTTCAAGGCTGCTTTTACAGATGTTGCGTTTGACTGCTTTTACTTTGAACATCATGTACAAGCGATGCCATGCTCATTCATCATGTGTGCTGTGGGACACATTGTGTCCAGTTTATTCCTCTTAGGTTCATTAAGAAAGATGAGCGAGTCGCATTGGAATGACAGCATCTCAGAGAAATTAGCATAATGAATATGTTCCAAGTAGTATACACCCTCTACCAATAATTGTAATGACACCCTGATGTTCTATTGATTTTAGCATTTGGTCTCATTAACTGAATTGGGAAGCATCATCTATCTCACTGACCTCCTGTTGGAAACTGATTCCAGTTCTGAAGCGAGATGCTTCTGAATGTGCAGCATATGGTTTATCCAGCTTCTCCGCTTAATGATGCTCTGTCTCTTTCTAGATAAATCATGGATGCATACGCCGGAGGCACTGGCCAAGCATTTTATAGCATACAATGCCAAGGTATGTATTATGGACCTCTCACAGATAAAATTACAGTACATCAAGCAGTGGAATATTACGCTGCCATCTTTATGAACTGCACGACTTGCATTTTAACTCAAGAGATTTATCTTTTAACATCAAGATGTGTAACGGTGGTTACCAGCTCTGGTCCTGGAGATCTGCCTTTGGACAGAGTCTGGTTCCAACCACAGTCTGCCACACCAGCTGGAGCTGATTAACTTCTCCAGAAGTCTTTGATGGGCTGGATTAGATGTATTACATGGTAACAGTTGAACTCTGCTACATAAAATTGACATTATGTAGCAACCATGTCATGGCAGATGTCATATGCTATCATAAGATGTAATGACAGATTATGTTCAGTAATACAACAGTGTCACGTTACCATTGCCATGATGGTCAGGATGTCATAATGTTTGATGTCAATTATAATAACAATAATAATAATAATGATGTTAATTTATATAGGACCTTTCATACTTTAAAATGCAGCTCAAAGTGCTTCACAATACAAAGTAAATGTTGTGTGCAGTTACACATTTCCACCAGAGAGGTCTTCAAATCCCCGAAATTTACATAGTGTAGCTTTAAGTCAGTTGTCATGATGAGCTTATGTAGGTGTCATGTGACCTTATGAATACAGCCCTACACTAAAGAGTTACCAAAAAAAAATGTTATTTTTAATAATATTACTATTATATCATTATAATAATATCATATAAATAATAATAATTCAGTGTCTCTGTAAGAGCTTTAGTATTGTTGGGATAATTGTGGGTAAATTTTTTATGTAGAGTTTTTATGTTTGGTATAGAATTGTTAGATTAAGGAAATTTAAGTCAGTCAGTCCATCTCCCTGATCATATTGAGCACAATTAATTATACCATGTCGTCAAAAACTCTGCATTGTAATGACTTCAGCCCTCCACACAGCAGACTGGGGTTCGATTCCTTGATCAGGCGAGCCGTGCTATACCAATAGTCCTTAGGGAAGACTCCTAACACTGCATTCATATCCATCTGTTACATGATTAAACTGTACTTTGCTCTGGATAAGAGCGTCTACCAATAGCATGAATGTAAATATTCACGTCCCCCTTCCACCGTCATGGAGAGGAAACACTCAGCTAGCTCAGAAAGAGCCTCCCTGATATCATGTTTCACTGTTTCATAACTGATTCTAATTGACCTCAGGTCAAGTTTGCACTGATTGTACTTTATGTAGTGTTTATTTTTGTGTATATCTGTGTGAATGTTAGTTTTAGCAGTTTGAATCCATTCTTAAGATTTTGCTGCACCATTAATTTCAATGCAGTTATCTTCAGTGACAGCCTTGCTGGTATTAAGTTCAGGTTCCTGTCTGCTGCTTGCTTTGTGGCTGTGATCTCCCAACAGTGCTGCATTGTTGAATCGCCCCCACTCTTATCTGCTCACTATCTGAGAGGAGTATTGGATAACGACAAGAAAAGCGTGTGTATTATTTTGAAGTCCAGGGACCCAAACAGACAGGCTGAATGGACAGATCAATGAGCACACATTTCCACAGCAAGATACAAGCCTTTTTTTTTAACCAAGCATGTCTTTGTCTCTTTTCCTTGCTGCTCATCACATGAGTATGGGAATCTTTTTTTGCACACTTGTCAGTTCTGTTTACCGCTCCGTTACACCAAAGACTCGGCTGCTGTTAGGGACCGAGAGCCTGTCCACTCCCATCCGGCTCTTCTCAGATATCTTACTGAGGTTCAAGGAGGGAAAATATAGACCAAATCCAATTTCATATTTTTACAACTATTCCTTGTTTTCGAGTGTCACTTTGTCCCTTGGAACTGAGTTACAAGGGGTAGTGCTTCAGATCTTTCCTCACAAAATGGGACCCTCAAATAAAAAAGAGCATTACTTCATTAACAGCTACTAGTGCTGCTCTGTAGGCGACCCTGCCAGTCTGCAGTGACAGCAGAGGAGGGTAAAGTTCAGCTCCTCACTGCTGGGCTTTAGTTACATTTGGGGAATCATATGCCTTCAAAGAGGGGCGGGCGGGGGGGGGGCAATTATTCATTATTGCCCACCCCTAATTCTTTAGTGATATGAAGCTGAAGTCAACTATTCATCAGCTTCTTGCTCAGAAGCTATCTCAACAAAATTTGGGACACCCTACCTCTAGACGTGCAAAGGCAAAACGTAGGGCTAAGGGCTACGTGGCAGGGGCGAGGGATGAAATGGGATTGGGCCATAGCTGTTGGATTCTCTGAGCTGCTGAAAGTTTCAGTCTGAGTTTCAAGTTTATTACAAAACCATAGTTCCATGATACAAAAGTGCATGACATAAGTTGTTTTATACATCTTAGAGGAAAACTTAGTCAAAAAATAAGACACTTAGATGGATTAACACACACCAAACGATAAAAAGGTTAATACATTTCAGACAGATATGGTGCAGATACATTGCTGTCATAACAAAAAACTCATATCTCCAAAATGATTGTTTTACCATTTCTATTGGTTAATTCATCATGAAGTGTTCACATAATGTTACATATAGCTGATGTTTTCAAATGAGGAAGAACAACCAAAAATATAAGTGGAGTCTTGTTATTACACCAATAATGTACAGTGAACACAAGTGTAGAAGATATATGTGCAGTACTGTTCAAATGGCAGAGACCACCCTACGTTTATTTGATTTTCTGTCAAAACCACCATAAAGTATTAGTTATAAATTTATTTCTCAGGAGATATTTCTGAGGAGATAGTTCACCTGCATAAGGAAGAAAGTAAAAAGAAAAGAAGTGAAAAAGTGGAGTTCATCAAAATAAAAAGAGGAAATGGGACACCTAACAACCATACAATGCCCGATAGACCGTAGACCGGTTAAAGTTCATCTTTAAGAGAGAGGAGAAAATCAAGCTCCACTCTTGCTTCAGAAAAACAGGTGAGCTGCGACTGAAAAAGACTGAGAAAAGAAAAGTTCTGGGCATCTGAGATATGGAGTAAGGATTTATGGGTTGATGAGTCTAAATGTGTAATTGGGTTTAAATGGCTTGTGAGAAGCAGAAAATGTAAAACCAACTTCTAAGACTGAACTTTGGAGGTGTGGATTTTTTGTGTACTTATGTCTCCTGAAAGAATGGAAGCTGTAATAAAGGTGAAGAGTGATGATTCTCATCAGCCTCATAACCATCTAACCCAGAGAGATGGTTAGGATTAGGACCAGGGTTAGGGTCGGGTTTAGGTTTTTAAGTGAAGTCAAGGTTTGGGTTAGACTTGATCAGAGTTAGAGGACATTTAAAGTGAATTTAATAGATATTTAGTTGAATATAAATTACATTCATGGTAAGTATCTGCAAAGCATCTACAGTTGGCTGTTTACAGTTTTACTGAAAATGTTAACATCATATTAATTTGTTGAGGCTTTTGTTTTTGTGTTAAATGTATACCTGTACATATGTGTATTTAACATAAATAAAAATAGAATGTCAAAATTTTCAGTAACACTTTATTTGGACAACCCACTGTAAATGCTTTGTAGATGCTTACAATGAATGTGATTTACATTCAACTAAATATCTATTAAATTCACCTTTTTCACTAGTATTTCATGGCTACTTTGACTGGAAATTAAATACATAACTTTTTTTATAGTGCTGTATTAAATGTTAAAATCATTTAAACAGAGTTTACAAGCCCTTGGTAAAAACTGGTGTCCTTCAGGCTTCTATATAATAGGCAATAATCGTTCACTTGGAGACAAAAAATGCATGAAGGGTGATTGTTGGGTTCTTTAGAGTCCTTCCCAGCTCATTTTTGGTGGTGGATAAGAAAACGTATAGTTGTCCAGGGTCTCTGTACAGATTCGTGGGGACATGAGGCTGCAGGATAGACTGGAGTACAAGTCAATGGGAGCTTGAAAAATGCTCTTCTGCCACTAGAGCAGGTGATGGATGAGCAGGGACAGTGTATCTGAAGCCAAAGCCCCTCTCAGCAGCCCAGAAGGGAGCAGTAATGAGGAGCAAGAAGCTGTCCACCCTGCTCACTGAGATGTGTCTATCACTGCTGTCTCTATGGCTGTGCTACCATGGCGGTCAGCATGACCTTGAGACTGGCCAGCATCCATCATGAGAGCACACATGCCGCTGGCACATTTTAACATGGCTCACGTGCTTAAAATAATAGTTCACCAAGGTATGTTTTTACACAAATTTTATACTGGCTGCAGGGGACGCTGTGAAAAATGTAAACAAAAACAAAATGCATAATGTGCAAACCCTATATTTTATTAAAAAATGCTTTAATGACAACATATCAAATGTTGAAACTGAGAAATTTTATTGTTTTTTAAAGAATATTTGCCCATTTCAAATTTGATGCCAACAACACATTCTAAAAAAAGTTGGAACAGGGGCAACAGAAGGCTGGTAAAGTTGTGTAATGATAAAAAAAACACCTGGTGTTTAATTGGCAACAGGTCGGTAACATGAGTGGCTATAAAAAAGCATCTCAGAGAGGCGGAGTCTTTCAGAAGTAAAGATGAGGAGGGGTTCACCACTCTGTGAAAGACTGCTTGAGGAAATCATGCAACAATTCAAGAATAATGTTTCTCAACACAAAATAGCAAAGAACTTCTGCTTTTCAACATCTACAGTTCATAACATAGTTGAAAGATTCAGAGAATCTGGAGATTCTGTAGTGGAAATCACTGCATGGGCTCAGAAAAACACTGTCTATGAAAACTGTTTGGCGCTGCATCCACAAATGCTAATTAAAACTTAAATACAAAGAAGAAACCATATATAGACAGGATCCAGGAATGCTGCCACCTTCTCTGGGCCCAAGCTCATTTAAAATGAACTGAGGGGAAGTGGAAAAGTGTCCTGTGGTCTGACGACTCAACATTTGAAATTCTTTTTTGGAAATCATGGACACTGTGTCCTCTGGGTTAAACACCACTCAGCTTGTTATCAGTGCACAGTTCAAATGCCAATATGCATGATGATGTAGGAGTGCATTAGTGCACATGGCATGGGTGACGTGCACATCTGTGAAGGCACCATTAATGCTGAAAACATTTTGGCAACATATGCTGCCATCCAGACGACGTCTTTTTCAGAGAAGGCCTTGATTATTTCAGCAAGACAATGTCAAACCACATTCTGCATGTATTACAACAGCATTGCTCCATATTAAAAGAGTCAGGGTGCTAAACTGACCTGCCTTTAATCCAGACCTGTCACCACTGATAACTTTTGGCGCATTAGGAAATGAAAAATACGACAAATGAGCCCCTGAACTGTTGATCAGCTGAAATCCTATATCAAACAAGAACGAGAAAACATTTCACTTTCAAAACTACAGCAGTGTCTCCTCAGTTCCCAAACACTTACAGAAGAGGTGAGGAAACACAGTGGTAAACATGCACCCATGCCAACTTTTTTTGGAACGTGTTGTTGGCATCAAATTCAAAATGGGTTTGCACATCATAGAATTTTTTGTTTTATTTACGTTTTGCACAGCGTCTCAAAATGCAATGGTTTTCATTTGCAAAAACAACTTAGTGGTTTCACTTCACTGATTGGAAAAAAAAAATCATGCAGTTTGAATCTGAAGTGAAATCAGAATGCAAGGAACACTCATTCCCAGTCCCTTAAGTTCTAGATATTAAGCAGGTAAGTGTGAGGTACAAACTCTACACTCACTGTTATTAAATTATTGTGGGTAACAAGTTCCAAGACAGTGTTAAATTACACTAAAAGCCCAACACTTTCTAGGCATTTACTGGATAAAAATCTAAAACAAACTACACAGTACTGTTTACTTTTTTTTAGGTAAAAAGTATTAGGTAGTTATATAGTATAAAATGAAAGGTGCATAGTATGTATCTCTTTATAACCTATAGACAAAAGTGAATCTGGACTGTAAAATAAAGTCCTAAACATTTACTTCTGAAAATTATCTTATTTTGTGCTGTCATTTTACACCACATAACATTCTGAGTACTAGGAGGTGTGACATTGTATTGAAATTGAGTGTGAGGATGTTCCTACCCCTTTATTACTGCAAGTCAATATGAAGTATATAACTACACTGTTACCTTTATCAGCCTGATATCTAGAACTGGTCAGTCATTTCAGTGTAATTAAGTTAAACTGTCTTGGAATGTACCACAATTTTACCCAAAATAAATGTCTAGTACTTTGGTATTTGTATCTCACACATAACTGGTTATTATCTAGAACATTCAGAACTTATGAATGCATAACATATTTCAGTTCTAGTCGAATAAAACCACTATTTCCTGAAAAGAATTGATGGATCGTAGACAGTTCTATCCAGGACTGACAGTCTGATCATTTCAGCTTTTGGTGGGGGAGTCACCAAGGTGACCAATCAAATTTTGCTGACTTGTGGGGAAAGATTTTCAAAATGTCTGCATAATTAAATAGATGAAATGTAAACAAAGTCATTTTTGAGTGGTTTGGTCTGAAATGCTTTGTTCCAGAGAAACCGAATCAGAATTGTTCACAGTGGTGGTGGTAGGAGCCAGACGTCTGCAGAGTTTAATGCCTCTGAAAGCTCCCTCACAGAAGGTTAGGTTAGATATGCTGCCTGATGTGACACATTGTTTCATGAGTTTTTTTTGTTTTTTTTTTTAATAAAATTTTGGCTTAAAATGGATTTTAGACCATGATTTTAATCAATTCATGGCAGAAGGATACATGCAGGGTGTTGTGAGGCAAGATAGTCCCTAAGAAAACGTTTTTCAGATTCATGACTATTTTAACATCATCAACATTACATATGAAAACTCAGAAGACGTGTAGGTTCACTGGTGGTTTCTGATAGTAAATAAAATGGCTATATTTGTGTTGTAGTCATGGTGACCCCTGGTTCCCATCACCACCACTGTAAAGAAATCAGTCAGTAAGTTTCTCTGCAATTAACCATTTCACACCAAACCACTCTGAATGACTGTTTACATCTCAAAGACTGAATTATTCAGAAATTTTGAAAAATTGGTAAAATTCCCCTTTAATACTAAAACCTTTGCTTTATAGAAAATATTAGCATATGCAGTACAGGAAATCAAACTGCAGTGCAGCTCACATGAAATAAAGATGCTATTAGAAATATGAAAAGATATGCTTGGTTTATGAATGTAGTCATCCATCTTCATGTAGCTGTGATTGAGCATCGCTGAGATTTAGGATTTTCCCACCTTGTTTACCACTACATCCCTGGCTACGAGGCTAATGTCACTAACAAGAAATGGAGGAGGAAAAGTGTTGCCAAACATCTGCTTTAAGTCTTCAGTCCTGAGGAAATAAAGTCTGTTTCAGTAAAACTAAAAGAGCATCTGCCTGTGTGGGTGATTAATAAGTCTAGTCCTACATAAATCTTTGTATTAATATAAGTTTGAGAAGCCTTTGCCTTTAAGGTTTTGGTGAGGAAGACATGGCTAATACGTTACATACTCTCTGGAGCAACTTAACCTCTAAAAGGTTTAACCTCTTCCTACCATTATTCAAAAATCAGAATACTAAAGAAAAATCCATACAATATATCCAGCATATCATTATTATCAGATTCAATAGACCACTGTTGTCTTTGTGTGTGAGATGTTGTGGCAGTGTTGAACTGCTAGTGAGCAATGATGGGTAAAAAAGGGGGGGGGAACCCCCTGCTGGGAAAAACAATTCACATCTATCCACAAAGACGGCCGTGCTGAGATAAAACACAACTACAGTTTTCTTAATGATAAAAAAAAATGAGTAGAACTGCCATAATAAAAAAAATATTGTGTTTAAACACAATAAAACCACTTTATACGTGTTGACTTGTTTGCTCACCTACAAAAGACAACAGTGCTGTTTTGGGTTTTGTTAGTCATACACATTTCTCATCTAAATATATTCCATATTCAATGATATCGAAGGAAATAAATGCAGAGCTTAGCAGAGGAACCTCCACAACAGCCTGAAATTGCACTTTGGGCTACTGTGTAAAGGGTTAAATGCTTTTCTCAGGAGCGCAACAGCAGCGCACAGTGGCCAAGGAGGGGAAGTGTAACTGCTCAGACAAACGCATGGCTGAAATGGGCTGGAATGCTTCGGAGGTGGCAGAGCAGGGCCTAGTTTATTTTCCTCCAGGGAGGAAGACGTGTATTGAGTGTGCTGAGGAAGCTGGCAGTCTTTGTTTTGTAACACAGTTTGTCTAGACAGACGCCTGACCACATGGAGCGCCTAATGTCCATCTGTTGAACACTAGCTGCAGCGCTGCCCTTTCAAACACTTTCAAGTCTGTTTGGTTAAAGCCACTGTGTGTTGCACAATAGACAGAGGGATGGTTCCTCACTTTTTGAAGTAATTATCAAAGGGGCTTTTATAAGCTTTCTTATAACTTTGAAATGATAATTGTGCTCAGTGGGTTGTGCACAATGGACTATGTGACGGAGCCAGAGGCTGCTGCAGTGGGATTTGCTTTGTAAAAGGAATATTAAAGTAGTCTGTGTTCTATATGGACTCCTGTTATATGTGTGAGTAACATTAGGACTATTCTGTGTTGACATATATAGTTTTAGCTTTATCTTTCACTGACCTGTCCTCATGGTTGTCCTGCATCCAGTCTTATGTTCCTTGTATTTTTGTCTACATTTCAGTTTCTGGGGAACACTGAGGTTGACCAGCCCAGAATTATACACACAGTACTGCAATGGTTTTCATTTGCAAAAACAACTTAGTGGTTTCACTTCAATGATTAGAAAAAAAAAATCATGCAGTTTGAATCTCAAGTGAAATCAGAATGCAAGGAACACACATTCACAGTCCCTTAAGTTCTAGATATTAAGCAGGTAAGTGTGAGGTACAAACTCTAAAGTACATGGAAGTTATTGTGGGTAGCATGAAAGTTCCAAGACAGTTTTAATAAATTACACTGGTAAATATCTTAAACAAACTCCACAGTACTGTATCTCTGTGAGTAACATTAGGACTATTCTGTGTTGACTTATATAGTTTTAGCTTAATCTTTCACTGACCTGTCCTCATGGTTGTCCTGCATCCAGTCTTATGTTCCTTGTGTTTTTGTCTACATTTCAGTTTCTGGGGAACACTGAGGTTGACCAGCCCAAAGGAACGGAAGTGGTGAGGGATGCAGTTCGAAAACTGAAGGTCAGTTTTGGACCTCTTTATGCTAGACTTGCACAGTGGAAGCCATCCTGAAACATCTGCATTTGAGCTATCTGTAGTGGCAGCAGGGCCAACACAACTGCCCTCAGCATACTTGATAAATGGCACAAAATAATGGCAGATGTGTTTTTATTGTTTGTTTTGTATTATCTCAGTGGTTTGTTACGTAAAGCTGTTCTAAGTCACCACATTGAGCTGTGGTTGATTTAACAGGTGGTTTTGATTTGAAAGTTAATTAAATGGGAGGGGGAAGGAGAGAGAGAGAGAGAGAGAGAGAGACTAAAATAAATAAATGAGCACATAAATAAATACTAGTGGTGTCAAAGTTAATATGTTAATAACAATGTACACTATATGGACAAAAGTGTTTGGACACCTACAGGAGCCTTTATAAATTCCCATTCTAAATCCATAGGCATTAATATGGAGTTGGTCCCCCTTTCCAGCCAAAACAGCTTCCACTCTTCTGGGAAGCTTTCTGGAAGATGTTGGAGAGAGTCTGTGGGAATTTTTGCCTGTTCATCCAGAAGAGCATTTGTGAGGTCAGACACGGGTGTTGGACGAGAGGGTCTGGCTCACAATCTCCGTTCTAGTTCATCCCAAAGGTGTTTGATGGGATTGGGGTCAGGACTCTGCGCGCTTTACATGGTCTGCCACTTCTTGGCTGAGTTGCTGTGGTTCCTAAACACTTCCACTTTTCAATAACACCACTCACAGTTGGTCTTGGAACATCTAGGAGGGAAGAGGTTTCGACTTGTTGCACCACCCTCGAATTCAGCGAGCTCTTTAGAGCGACCCATTCTTTCACAGATGTGTGTAAAGGCAGACTGCATGGCTAGGTGCTTGATTTTATACACCTGTGGCAATGAGACTGAATGAAACACCTGAATTTAATGATTAAGAAGTGAGTCCCAATACTTTTGTCCATATAGTGTGTTATTAGTCAATTTTTTTTTTACAATGTTAACGCGATTTTTCTTAGTTGGATCCTTTACAATAGTGCAGTCTGAAGCCCACCTGCGGCGCACCGTATGTTGCTATCATAGAATCCCAGTTGTAGCCCACTCATACAGTACAGCTTTTAAATTGCTTTTAAAGCGATACCTTTAGTACTGTCAGCGGACTACAGTGGACCAAGAGAACTATGGATAAATTAACCATCAGCAAAGTGGAGCTTCAGTTTCCGTCAAGAGCTTCCACTATAACAAGAATCCACAGCTGTATGAATGAGAATGAGAGGCTACAATCACGGACAAACTGAACCACTGGCTGTATTTATGAAATATATATATATATATATATATATATATATATATATATATATATATATATATATATATATATATGTGTATATATATATATATATATATATATATATATGTATATATATATATATATATATATATATGTGTGTGTGTGTGTGTGTGTGTGTGTGTGTGTGTTTATATATATATATATATATATATATTGCTGTTGTCGGAAGAAAACCTTGTAGCATTTTTTTCATTTTTCAGTTTGGCATAATTTGAAAATGTGTGGTGCCCTGTGTGCAATGGGCACTAAAGTGACTTGGAAAAAAGTCTGGTTCCATTGGCTTACATTAAAAGTAAAGTTTTTTCCTTCTCCTGTAAAGTTATCATTTTGGAGATACAAGGTTTTCTTCAGATAGCAGTGATATATATATATATATATATACACGACATACACTAATTGTTTGGAATTCTCACTGGCGTTGGTGGTGAAAATTGGAAACTGTGTTCACTCTGTGGAAATCAAGTGATTTTCAGGTTCATGTTAACTCAATGAAAATAATGTTATTGAATTACTAAAATTTATATTAATTAATTAAATATGATAAATTAATAAATACATTCTTTGGCTTGTTTCATCCACTCATATAGCTATAACAAAACACACTGTTTTAAATGGAAGAATCTTTAATTATGGTCAAATGTGAGCAAATTACGCAAATTAGATTAACTACACAAAATAATAAGATAAGATAATAAGATTGATCGTTTGATGGCCCTAATAAATATATATAAAAGCTATTGCACAGCACTTTTTTTTAGTTTATGTACTAGATGCCTTTTTCAGTGTTGTAATGTATTGACCAGGTGTTTTATTGTGTGTCTAAATGTCTTGTTCAGTTTAAAATGTGTCTTTCTATTTCTGTAGTTTCAGCGACACATCAAGAAATCAGAGGGACAGAAGATTCCAAAGGTGGAATTACAAATTTCTATCTATGGAGTGAAGATATTAGATCCTAAGACAAAGGTTTGCACACATGTACACATGATCACATGTTTATAATGGTTACAGTGTGAATTCAGTATAGAAACCACTTGAGCACAGTTTCACTGGCGATCATACAAGCTGTGTGTGTAGAGTTGAACACTGTCAGCAATGGTGCACCTTAAAGTAGCTGAATGTACTAATTAAAAGGGGTGTCTGGATACTTTTGTACACACCGTATATATTTAGATGTGCCACCTATAACTTGTACATTGATAACCTGTTTGCCTCTTTCATTTTGCCATATTATTATTATTATTATTATTATTATTATTATTAACATTATTATTAAGAGCTTCTCATTCTCTTTCTAGGAAGTGCAGCACAATTGCCAGTTGCACCGGATATCCTTCTGTGCAGATGATAAAACAGACAAGAGGATATTCACGTTCATCTGCAAAGACTCTGAGTCCAATAAACATCTCTGCTACGTGTTCGACAGTGAAAAATGTGTAAGAAAAATACACTCTAATAATGACAACAGACAAAACATGCTACTGCAGTCTGGACTGTTGGTCCTATAAAAGGCTTAAATGTTGGTAACGTTTTATTTTACAGTGCCCTTATTACAGTGGAAGGTAAAGTGCAACCACTGTTAACTAACTATTGAACAAAGCATAGTCACATTGTTCAGAATGTGGAAGTAATACTTACTACAGCGAGAAGTATGTAGGGGTGACCTGAACAGCATTTTATAGGCTTTGAGTACTCATTGGTGTTTCCGAACAAGTTCTTGAATACTCCTTCTCAACACTGCCCTCAAAAACAATAGTATTTACAATTCATCATCTATCATGATTTTAGGTATTATAGTTAGGTTAATCAAAATATTCTCGTTTTTGGTTTATATACACCCCCCTTTGCAATGAGGGTTATTTCAATGTTTTACACTAGATTCGTATAGATTTACAGCCGTTCATACCATATAGTAATCAACTAAAACCAGTTATATAGCCTGGCAGTTAAATGAGTTACTGAGGACACTCAGCTATTTCACCCAAATGTCGCTTAACAGTCAAAACTATAGCACAACAACATATGTGTATTTTTCTTAGTTTAAATGTTGTCATTTAAATATTTTTCTCTAATTTATCTTGCTTCAGTCTTTCAAAATAGGGGGGGTCTATGACGTCATGGGAGAGTGTGACTGTGTTCAGCTAATGTTACGTGAATATGGCTTTTTTTTAGCCTAATATTACATCTATTGTTGAGTAATTGCCATTTTCCTGGTTTTGTGGTCATATATTTAATATTTAAATGTATGCAAATTTTGGGCTTTTAGCTATTTGCACAAATTTCTAGAAGGACAACGACCTTCCACATGCTAACCCCTCAGAACATGCTGTAAAGGTTACTGCTCTTAAAAAGAAAACTGATTGTGCTTTAGTGACATGCAAAAAGCAGCTTACTTAAAGGGGAACGCCACCAATTTTTCAGAAACTCTACAGAATGTAATGGGTGAGATGTAAATACAGTCATACAGAGTGGTTTGGTGTGAAATGCTCCATTCTAGAGAAGCTTACAGAGGCAGGATTGTTCATGGTGGTGGTGATAGGAACCAGACATCTTAAGAGTTTAATGCCTCTGAACGCTCCTTCACAGAAAGTTATTACATGAAAGACTGAATTTGCTGCTTGATGCCAGCATTGTTTTATGGTAGTTCTGTGACAAAGTTTTAGTCTAAATTGTATTTTCATAATTTTATTTTAATTCATTCGTGGTGCAGGGATACATGAAGGGTGTTCTACGGCAAAATAGTCCCAAAAGAAAACTTATTTTGTCAATTTTCTGACTAATTTACAATGATTAACATCCCATATAAGAGCTCAGAAGACACACGGCAGGTTCCCTGCTGGTTTTGTATAGTAAATAAAATGGCTATATTTGCGTTGTAGACCACCACTGTAAAGAAATCAGAGTCTGCAGGTTTGTTTACATCTCAAACATTAAATTATACAGATATTTGAGAAATCGGTGGAGTTCCCCTTTAAGCTCTCCACAGCAGCCAGTTTAAAGGCACTGCAGTTAAAATAAATTCATTGTCGAATACATTAAAAATCATGTTATGAGATGAAGTACGCAGAGAGTTTAAGTAGGCTGCTGTTTGGGGAGGAGCATATTTAAACCACAAGTACATCAGTGCCTTTTATAAACTTAACAGAATAAGCAGTTTAGCTATTGCTGTTTAACTTTATAGCTATTACTGTAAAGTCTTATAGCTGATTATATCCAAACCATGTATTTGACTCCTTATTCATGTGGGTGATACATCTTACACATTAGAAATTTGAATGTAATGACAGCTTTTCAATGCGTGAATTACTCATATAAGTTCTTTGATTGGCATCGGGCTGTCAGAATAAAAGTGCAATCAGCAAAAAAATGAAGGAAAAACTTTTTTCGTGCTTTTTTCTTTTCAGTGTTATTTGCTTTCACTTTTCTTGTTTTCTTTTTCTTTCTTTCTTTCTTTCTTTCTTTTACAAACAGGTGCTCCTCCGGGACCCATTGTACCAGGGTAATATTTGGGATATATGTTTGCTTTGGGATGTTTTGCTCATAGGACTTGTTTCAGTGGGCAACAGAGAAATACAGCAGCAAGAAATGTCAGTAAATATTTCATTTCAACAAAATACAATCAGAATTCTTTTAAGAAGTGTGGTCTGTAAAACATGCATCCTGAGGGTTTCGCACAAATATCTAAAGAGGCAAAAAAAACTTTCTGTAAGTTTCAATATTACAATTATGGCCACAAAACCAGGCTCTAATCTCAGCCATCTGATCTTGTAAATATGAATTGCAGCAACGTTGTGCAGTTGAGAAACATAATTACATGATGTAATATCAGGCTGTAATAGGTATTATTTCAACACTTCAAACCATGAAGCCACTCTTTGTTTAATAGTTAATAACCATGCCCATTAATATACAGTGTTATGTTACAGTGTTATAATACAGTGTTATGTTACTGTTACAAGTAGTTGTCATGACAGACATCATAATGTTTAATGTCATGACAGCTTCTGTCACAGTCTAATTTTTGCTATGTAGTTGACTTGGCTTTCATGGCAATTACCAGTAATGATAACAGAACTGTTACATTACTGAACAAAACCTGTCATGACAGCACATGATATCTTCACTGATTTTTCATGCCAAGGTAAAGACAGAATTCTGCAAAATGATATAAAATAATTACAGAGATAAAATGAAAAGTACTTGGAAAGACTGTACTTTTAACAACTGTAGCCTTTGTGCTTCACTTGTCACTGCTTTATTGGAGAATGGCCACTGTCAAACCAAACTGACGTGATCTCTCAGCTACAGTGTGCCAGAAGGCACATGGAAGACTCTGAAGTGAGCTAGAAGAAGGTTTTATGGTCTGACGAGAGCTTTATGGCCATCAAACTAAATGCCATTTACATCATATATGCACCATCCCCACCGTGAAGCATGGTGGTGGCAGCATCATACTGTGGGGTTGTTTCTTTGCAGTAGGCCTTGAAAGGCTTGTGGGTATAGAGGATAAAATGAATGCGGCAAAATACAGAGAGGAAAACCTCATGCAGTCTGCAGGAAACCTGAGCCTTGAGTGAGGATTTATCTTCCAGCATGACAGTGACTCCAAGCACAGGAATGGCTGAAAAACAACAATGTCAATTTCCTGGAGTGGAGTCAGAGTCTGGATTTCTATCCAACAGAGAATTTGTGGCTGGACTTCAAAAAGGCTGTTCACTCACAATCCCAATGCAACCTGACAGAGCTTGAGCAGTTTTGCAAAGAGGAATGGAGAAAACTGCAGTGTCCTGATGTGCAAAGCTGATAGGGACCTTTTCTCATTGACTCAAGGCTGTGATTGCTGCCAAAGGTGCATCTACAAAATACTGGCTTGACTGGGATGAATGGAATCAGATCATTTGTCTTTAATATTTATAATTACTTGAAATAATTTTGACCTGTTTTCACTTTGACTATAAAAATAAAACATGAAAACTTCCAAAGGGGGTACTTCTTATAGGCACTGTACACTCTCAGAAATAAAGGTAGTAAAGTGTCACTGGGGCAGGACCCCTCTTGGCACCGGGGTGGTTCCCTCAAGGGTACATCTCAGTACCTTTAGTCAGGGAACATAACTGTACCATAATCCACTGAAATGATATGTTCTAAGCTGTACTGACTCCACACACCCCGTCTCGTCTCCAGGCTTTTATTTTATTGTTCTGTTTTAAAACATTTGGTTATGAAAAGGTACAAATACGAACTTTTCACCTGGAAAAACTTATTTAAGGTTCACAATCAGACCTTAAAACCACTGTTGTACCTTTGAGGGAACATTTACACTGTTTGTACCTTGATTAACGAAAAATGTACCTGAACAGAACCTTTATTTACAACAGTGTAATAATAACTTTCTTTCTCGTACATTTCAGGCAGAGGAGATCACTTTGACCATTGGCCAGGCGTTTGACCTGGCATACAAAAAGTTCTTGGAGTCAGGAGGGAAAGACGTAGAGACACGGAAACAAATAGGAAGCCTTCAGAAAAGAGTAAGCTTCTATGAAACTCTCTCTAAAACTGTTTTGCAGCATTGTATGTTTCCTCTTTGTCAGCTGCGTCCAAAGTAACAGCTGCACTTCATCGGTCACCTAGTTATCCACCTTTTCTCGCCTCAGAAATGGCTCGAGGAAAACTGACATCTCCCTCGTCCTCACAGATTCAAGAGCTCGAGACTGAAAATTCAGAGTTGAAAAAACAACTGCAAACGCTGGAGGAGCAGCTGCTGATTGCTCAAGTTCCACCTGTAAGAACTGCCTGACACCACAGTAACAGTAACGTTCAGAGCCCTTGTGCTCCTCTAAAGCAGCCGCTCTTCTGCTGTATTTAATCTTTCTGTCTGGTCTTTTTTTCCCCAGTTGCTTCACATTAACTCTACTAACAAGGACTATATGCTGCAGAGACCTTCTTCTCTCTTCTGGTGTCACAATCTGACATCCTTTTCCTGCCTAGAAATCTCTTCTGTCACACTAACGCCAATGAGTTCTCCAGACTCCAACATGTCAGCTGGAGTTCTGACCCCTCCCCCCACCAAACCCGCTCTACCAAAGCCCCTCACTGAAGCTGGGATCCCTCGGCCTCACGTAAAACACCCATATTTCTCTTTTTCTGTTGCTCTCCGTTTCCTCGGTTCTCTGTTTGCTGCCAAATCTGTATGTTTTGGAGCATCCACACTGCAAAAGTATGGGGACGCTTAGTGGTTTAGACTATGCTAACATATTAAAGATGGAAAACAATGGAGGAAAAGAGTGCAGCCTTTGGGAATAAAGCCAAAAAACAGACATTTTATGCTTTTGCAATCAGCATTCGTCAATACTCAAAGCTTTTTTAGGTGTTCGAAGCACCTTTGGATCAAAAGAGTTTCAATATGTGCTTTTAACAATAGTTTGGAAAAGAAAACTGTTGATATCATTATTTAGACAAAACCTGCTGTTTAAACCAAGGAAGACGCTTTGATTAAGTATTATGCTGCTGTCGGACCAAAACCTTGTATCTAAAAAATGGTAAATTTAGAGGAGAAGGAAAAAAGCCTGCTTTATTTTCAGTATAAGTCAGTGGAACCGGATGTTTTTCCTACCAATTTTGGGCCCTTTCTTTTGGTCCATTCACGTTGCACACAATATTTACACATAATATAAAGAACAGAAGGTATTTTCATATTATGTCAAAAACTGAAAAGTGGAGATACAAGGTTTTGTTCCGCCAGAAGCGATTAGCAAATATTTGTTTTTTTGTTTACAAATCCCAAAATCTGATCCTTTGAAGGTATTTTTTTTCTTGGTTAATTGGAAGGTAATAGAAAGCAAGGCATGATGTCCAGTGTACAGGGTGATTCAAAAAGATTCATCCAATTTCAAAGCACCATATTTTTACAACCGTGAGGCACCTAGGAACCAATCACAATCCAATTGAAAGAGGAAGTCATAGACTGGAAGACGGCTCCCTTCAGTCTGAGAGGAGATGAGACCCCTAAGCAGAAAGCATTCTGCGTTCTCCACTTCAATAAGAGTGAATCAGTCATAACTGTGCAGCGTGATTTTCATGGGCAGTGAACCTCCAACAGCTCAGAGCGTTCAGCGTTGGTTCCACAACACTGGATGATCTCCGAAATCGCACTGAAAGAGCTGTGAGTGCAGCGACACCCGACATGCTCAATCCAGTATGAGATGATTTTGACTATGGCGTTGATGTTGTCCGTACAGCTGGAGGAGGTTCATACTGAGCACCTGTAAAATTACATAATAAACTTTATGCTCATTTAAACCATTTACAGTTCACTGCATTGATCTGTAATGATTTACAAGAGAAATAAATCATTTTGAAATCGGATGAATCTTTGTAAATCACCCTGTATACACAGTCCAGAACATAAGTAATAGCACAGAGATGCAGTGTTTGCCTGGTACTCCAGGTCCCTAGATTTAAAATGATCCAATGAGCCATTTCAGGAGACCATAATTAATTGGAGAGTTGTTATAATTGGGTTGCATTCAGACACAAGAGCATTAGTGAGGAACTGATGTTAGACAATTATTTCTGGACCACAAACTCCACTCCAGTTCATCCCAAAGGTATTGGATGGAGCTTTATTACTCCACAGTTTTATACACCTCGATACGATGCTTGACATTTGTAACGGTGACCTTAAGCTCGTGTTTGGCTTCTCCCTGAGACCGTCCCTTTCTAATGGTCAGTGCTTTTCTATAAAAAGCAACGTGTGTAACTGAACACCTGGATCAGCAAGAGGTGCACTTTAAAGTAGCTAAAGTAGCTCACTAATTAGAAGAGCTGTCTGGATACGTTTTAGTCCAGTCACATAAGAGCTGTGATACGTCCCCCACAGGACCACCACTGAGCAGGGATTATTAGGATGGTGGATCAGTCTCAGCACTGCAGTGCTGTGGGGATTTTAAACACTCTGTCCACTTACTGTCCACTCTTACCTTGTTGGTCCACCTTATACATTTCAACTTGAGACAGTCGCTCATCTGTTGCTAACAGTTTGGTGTGGTCATCATCTAGTCCTTCATCAGTGGTTAGTTTCTGGTCACAGAAGCTATTTAAAAACTTCAGCCACACTAAAAACTCCAGCACAACTGCTACCATGTCAGTATCACTGCAGTGCTGAAAATGATGCATCACCAGTGTTGTGACTACTGAAACACATATTTATCAGTATTATATTTGTTACTATCAAAACATTTCGTAAAGTTTCAGAGGTGTTTATGATAGTTTTGTTAGTGACAAAATTGAATGTCCAGTCATTTATTTTAATAAAATAAACAGAATTAAGGTACAGCGTCACTATACACCGATCAGGCATAACATTATGACCACCTCCTTGTTTCTATGCTCATTGTCCATTTTATCAGCTCCATGGTAGCTCAATGGACAATGAGCATAGAAACAAGGAGGTGGTCATAATGTTATGCCTAATCGGTGTGTATATAAAGTAATATGAAGTCCAAGTCAGTAAAAATTCTGAAATGTGTTTTTAACTAGTTCGGTAGAATAACCCAGATTCAAAGTGGCCATTGAGTGAATGTCCTTTCTAATGAGCATTTAAATGAAAACAAACGTAGCAGCCTTTATTCACTGAAATTGCGTAGAAAGGGCAGATTTGATTGCCTTTATTGATTCTGCATCCGATTCATGACACTTTTGGACAAAAGGGAAACAAGCGGAGATTTGAGCGCAAATGATGAATCAGCTTTAGTGCGTGAAATCAAGCGCTAGCCTACCAGCACCTCATTTACATATCATTTACATGAAGGACGACTTAATTTTTTAAAACAGCAGCATTCAGCAGATCGTGAGCCAATGACTGTGCTCCTAGGTGGAGTTTGAGCTTGAGCAGTGAGTGCACTGCTCCCCCTACTGACTAACTTTGCTGTGATTATTATTCCTAATGTTATATTACTGCAGTGTATGAGATGCTCCTGCACTAGCTATGTTTTGTATTTGGGTGTCAGTAATGCAGAACAAAAGCTGTGTAATATGTCTTTAAATGGAACATACAGTAGTTGCAGCATTTGTTTATACCAATATGCAGGTAAAACACATACATCCACTTTTGTACCGGATTGCTATTTACACAAGTTATTGTTGTTATTGTCTTTTTAAAATTCATTATTGAGATTATAGATAATATTGATAATAACAAAGATGAAATTGATGAATAACAAAACTGTTACATTTTCACCAATCAGATTTGACTGTACACAATTTTGATAATATGAAGGCAAAGTATGATCTTTCAGTATGATTTCCTTTCATTTTAAATCTAGAACTAGAAAAATATAAAATATAAACTAGCACTGTTTGACATTATTTTCATTTTACATATGTATATATATTTATCCCCAATGTTCTCTCTCTGCCTTTCTGCAGGGGGGTGGCAACTCCAAGGTCCCCACAGATATTTTTGACATGGTCCCATTCTCTCCGGTGGCTCCTCTGGTGCCTCTTCCAGCCAGTAATGCTTCACCCCCTCCTCCCCCAGCCAGACCTGCAGAAATGAGTAAGTCACGGCACATTTCACACTGTGCAGGACACAAAATCCTACATTAGCAACAGATCTCTCACACTACATAAGGGTTTATGTCCACTTCAGGGGACATTCTGGCCTAAAACTGGCATTTAATATGTTATTTGTCATGTTATGCAGTATTATGAAGCACAGCATTGTATGCTGGAGCCTCATCGGTTTGACACAATTCATGGTTTTGTATCCTCGTTGTGTTTTTGTCTATCAGTGTTCTGTCACTACAATGCCCAGCATGCATTACGCAAATAGGTCAACCATTAGGAATAATAAGAAATACTGACTGCTAGCGTAGCCACCGCTAATAAATACAGAAGTGATATTGAGTTTCCTAGCAGTAAAGTTCTTCCCATCTTCAAGATACATCATCACAGTGGGGTTTCCCTGCTTTTTAAACGGGAAAGTCTCACTCTAGAGTCACAGGTAATAGGTGAGTAGACATGTTAAGCACACACAGATCAGACATAACATTATGACCGCCTCCTTGTTTCTACACTCATTGTCCATTTTATCAGCTCCACTTACTATATAGGTGCACTTTGTAGTTCTACAGTTACAGACTGTAGTCCGTCTGTTTCTCTGCATACTTTGTTAGCCCCCTTTTACCCTGTTCTTCAGTAGTCAGGACCCCCATGGACCCTCACAGAGCAGGTACTATTTGGGTGGTGGATCATTCTCAGCACTGCAGTAACACTGACGTGGTGGTGGTGTGTTAGTGTGTGTTGCGCTGGTCTGAGTGGATCAGACACAGCAGTGCTGCTGGAGTTTTTAAACACCTCAGTGTCACTGCTGGACTGAGAATAGTCCACCAACCAAAAATATCCAGCCAACATTGTCCTGTGGGCAGCGTCCTGTGACCACTGATGAAGGACTAGAGGATGACCAACACAAACTGTGCAGCAGCAGATGTCAACATCTACAAGGTGGACTGGCAAGGTAGGAGTGTCTAGTAGAGTGGACAGTGAGTGGACACAGTGTTTAAAAACTCCAGCAGCACTGCTGTGTCTGATCCACTCGCACCAGCACAACACACACTAACACACATGGGCCAGTGCTGAGAATGATCCACCACCCAAACAGTACCTGCTCTGTGCCCTCTGAGGGTCCATGGGGGTCCTGACCACTGAAGAACAGGGTAAAAGGGGGCTAACAAAGTATGCAGAGAAACAGATGGACTACAGTCTGTAACTGTAGAACTACAAAGTGCACCTATATAGTAAGTGGAGCTGATCAAATGGACAGTGAGTGTAGAAACAAGGAGGTGGTCATAATGTTATGCCTGATCGGTGGAGATTTAGTAATTGTTTCATTTTTCATTTTGGCCAGAGTGTCTCTTCAGTGGTTAATGTCACTTTGATCACAGCAGAGCACTTTTATATTCAACCATGCACACACTGTTACACTGTTACAGGCAAACAACAAACATCACACATATACAGTGCAGCCTGTGCATTAGATATGATATGCAATGTAAAGATCATGTGCATGTCGGAAAGCTAAGCTGCTTTGAGGTGCTTATGGTGCAGGTATGGATGCTATTACACTGTAACTGTCACACGGGATGAAATACGTTGTAATAGCTGACCAAACTTATTATTGCTGCTATAAAGTCTCCTTATCCTGCTGTTTTAATCATGTTTGTTAGAAATATCCTCTAGCCATTAAAGTGAGGGACAGAATCACAAAGTCATCACGTATAATGGTTTCTCACAGTTGGACCTCCATCAATATTCATGATAAGGGTTGGAAGGTTATTTCTAAAATGTATTCCATTATGCCTGACTGATTAAAGCTGCAGCCCACTAATCTAAAGATTAAATAATCTCAGGATTGTATTACATTCATAATGCCGTTCTGAAATCATTCCATTACTTTTTCATGTATTTCTGTTTGAAGGCCTCGTGGTGAAGGGTAAAATAAACCATTAGCAGTATTTCCATTTAGTATGAAAGCCATGGTCCCTGAAGTGATCTTTGCTGTCTTAATAGTTTATGATGCAACAAGCAGTATTTAGTTCTCAGTTATGTTAGAAATGCTTTTTATCTCTACAGACGGCTAAATTTATAACACTGCTTGGAATCAACGATTCAATAATATAAAGCCAGTTTGCAGATCAGTGTTTGACGTTACATTTTCAAAGGTTTCAGATTATTATGAAGTTCTATTAGTTAAAATGTTAGTAATGTACAGACTGAAGAACTAGACAGCATGAAAAATGAATAAATAACAATAAAATGAAAATCCAGAATATTTCAAAAAGGTGATCAAATCTTAAGGTGGATAACTTGCAGCATATCATTTATCTTTTAATTGTTTGCAAAAATGTAATTTTCTTGTTTCCAAAACTTTTAAAATGCTTATATATGTATAAAATTCATTTTGTCTATTGGTAATTTCAATTGTTATTGGCTATAAAATAACCACCTTTTTTGATGAAATAATAGAAAATATTTTTTTAAAAATAAAATAACCATAAATAATAAACAAAAGGAAAGAAAAGCCAAGTTTCTTTTTTTGCAGTAATATATGACCATTTGAAAGTATGAAGTCACTCATCATTAATAAATATTATTCCATAACAACTTATACAGTAGTTTAAAACATTATAAACTAGACAATAAACGTAAACTGGTGGTTGATTTATAATTCAAAGTGTTTGGGGAACAGCAAAAATATAGGACATCTATTTATTCACAAAATTACCATAAATTTTTGATGAGTGAAATTTGGTCTCCACTTTTTAAGAGGCTTTCTGGATATTAATTTCATAAGAAGTTAATTGTCAATGCTATTTTGCTTTCTCAGCTATTATGGAATCAAGTACAACTCTTTTAAAAAGTTCTTAATTATATCGTCTTACGAACTGTTTTCAAACCTAAAGAATTTAAGCACCATAATAGAACAATGACTCCAAAATATTTACAAAATGCTTATAAGTATAACATTAGGTTAAAAAAAAGTCATTTAAATTATTATTGGTTGCAAAATAACAAACATTTTATATGAATATATAAAATAAAAGAAATAGTTTTTTAAATAAAATAACAAAAGAAAGGAAAAGCCAAGTGTAACTGAGCAGTAAAACATAAACTGGTGGTTAATGTGTAATTTAAAGTAAATTGCTATTTAATGAGTGAGATTTGGTCCCCACTTCTTAAATATGAGGGTTTTTGGGTATTAATTTCATAATAAGTTCATTCTCACTGCTATACAGCTTTCTCAGCTATTATGCTCAGCTATCAACTACAGCTTTTTACAAATTGTTTTCAAACCTAAAGAATTTAAGCACCATAATAGAACAATTTCTATATGTATCTGCAACAAAATAGTTTGCATATCGCCGCTATCAGAACAGAACCTTGTGTCTTAATTTTTGTAATTTTTCAGTTTTTGACATTATTTGAAAATGCCTGTCATCCTTTATATTGTGTGTAAATTTTATGAAGAATGGACCAAAAGAAACGGCCCAAAATCACTAGGAAAAAAGTCTGGTTCCATTGACTTACATTAAAAGTAAAGTCTGTTTTTTCCTTCTCCTGTAAAGTTACCTTTTTGGAGATTCAAGCTTTTGTTCCAACAGCAGCGATATATTTAGTACTCCCTAACATTTGTTATGGCCCCAATGTGTCCCGCAGGAAAAGACCTGTTCGGCGCAGAGCCCTTCGACCCGTTCATCTGCGGGGCGGCCGACTTTCCCCCCGACATCCAGTCCCGGCTGGACGAGATGCAGGTGACTGCATGTCTGTGAATTATTAGCAAATGGACTGCTGTAAGTGGGCAGCTGGTGGAGCAGACGGTAGGCACTGTCGCAAAGCGTCACAGCACTGAGTCCCATCTCGCATTTCCGCTCATATCAATCACGGGAAAGAGCTCGGCTCTCACAGCTGCACCCACTGCACTGCGCCACAGTCAGACCCCGAGGAGTCGATGGCCATTATGAGAGAAGTCTCAGTGTAATGAATGTCTTGTCACAGCGGTGTTGTTCCCGCTGTGTCTGTCCTGGCCTGACCTACTGGGAGACAAAAACATGACTCTGATCTTTGCCTGAACAGATGTTCTGAACCATTTTAACAACTTTAGCTTTGCTGAGTTTGCTGTGCTCAAGGACCACTAAGTCCGAGTGCAGACTGTGTGTGGAAATGGCTGCGCAGTATATTGTCTGTTCATTGTTATCGCAATGTTGACTTCTGCCACTATTGCAAAAAACTTTGCTTGTGCTTAAAGATATATGCAAATTTGAAATGAGCTCTTGAACAAATCACAACATCTTTTATTGTGAGCATCCTGACCATCACTGAACACTCTAGATGAGCTTCTGTGAGTGTTTATACAAATGCAGGCATTCATGTGATCTGCAGTCATAATAATGCATTATGTCAAGGGTTTGGCTGATGGGTTTATGTTTTAAATACATTGTAAGGCAAATTGCAGTGTGTCACAATATATTTGCAGTATGGTGCTTGTCCATACTGTAGGACACTCTTGGCTTTATCTACAGGTCATTCCACTTCAAATGACCTAAGGCTGGTCCAGTCATGTCATTTCCATGAAAAATCAGTTTAATTCACGCAACCATGCAAAATTTCAGACCTATGATGATCTTTTTAGCTGTATTATGTATTTTTAAGGTTTTCTCAGTGATCTTAACTGCTGAAGGGGTGACTGAACTGAGCTGACATATGAACTGTAGAAATAACACTACACATTGTATTTATAGTAAATGTTTTTTTGCATAATTTATATTTTGCAATATCACAGTAAATATTAGTAGTAAATGTTTCATTTTTTTATTTTTAAAATTTTGCATAATTTAGGTTTTGTAGTATTACAGCAGTGCAGTATTTGTAGTGAATGTATCTGTTTGTACTAAATTATATTTATATTCCTAGCAAATCTACAAATGAATAATAAGTCATTAGTTTAGCAGAAAATTATTATTTTTTAATATTTGAAGCTACACTACAAATTAGACAGTACTTAAGACGCAGTTGAGAACCTAATGGGGCAGTCTTTTAAATTCATAACTTATTGGTGCATAGATTTAAAATTTTGCGTGGTTGCATGAATTCATTGTTTGATTTTATTTTCCCCCCATGGAAATGCATGATGTAATTGGACAGGCCCTAGGTGAGTTGGCATGGAATGACCCTTACTCTAGATTAGATACTCTAGATAGACTCAATATTTAAAGATTTGACATAATTTAATGATTCAATGTTTTGAGCGTGTGAGATGAAGTATCCACAACACAAGACGATCACACTGCCAGCTTGTTCCTGCTGATGGTTACTGTTGAGCTCTTTGACTTTCAGACCTGCTGACTGTAACCCTTAATGGGGATCCATCTGCTAGGTTTCAGGAAACAAGCACCAGCAAATCAGTCAGGCCACTCAGTTAAAACCTCTGTGTTTACAGCGGTGTCAAGTGCGACGTGTTTATAAACAGAAATATTATCACAAAATGCTGCTTTTCATGCTTTTTTATATTCACTAACCGACTCTTTTCCCACTAACCAACTCTGTTTCCTGTCTCTCTCCGTCTGCCACTGACAGCGCCAGAGATGGTTGGTACCCCTTCTCACATGTAGATGCATTCAGTGTCAAGCTGCCTCTTTCACAGAACCAGTTCAAGTTGTGTTTTTTTGCATGCATGTATAGTTTGGACAGTTTATGAAATTCACTCTCTCACTTGTCCATCCATGCTCATCCACGTTTTTAGCTTTAAAGATGTTTTTGATCCTCAGGTCAAACTTCCATGTTTTAAGGGTGCAAATTTCATTATAAATGTGTTGGTTGCATTTCAGTGTTTGCGTTTCATCACCTAAAGGCCATTTGAGCCTCAAACATGGTAGATAACATAATGTGCAAAAGTCAGAGACCAACCTTTTCTTTTAATTCCAATGTCAAAACAGCCATTAAGTACATGTTGATTATTAATTTTTCAGCAACAAGATATATTTAACAGCAAATTACATAAAAGAATGTTAAATCTGTCAGTATTTTATTATCTTGTGTCTTTTGTGCACATACTGCCACTTCAGCTCTTCCATTTTTTCAATCTTAAAACCAACCAGTTACAGCTGAGTCCTCCCAACAAACGCTGCTCCCAAAAGGACTCACTGACATTACAGGACCCTTCAAAGAGACACAAACATTTACACAAACAACTACCCAAACACACTTCAGCTGCCTTACAAACTTCATTAGATATAAGATAATACACTCGCATAAGAAAGGAGGAAGTTAAAGGGATATGAAGGGATATTCAAACAATGATACAGAGAAAATGGGACAACGACTCCCAACAACCACCTGGAAGACCTGGTAGACACCAAAACTGCCCCCCATCAGATAAACAGCACTTAAAGCTTTCATCTCTGAGAGAGAGGAGAAAATCAAGCTGCTTCAGATCTGAAAACATCCACAGGTGTTTCTGTCCATCCTTCCACTGTGAGAAGACGACTCAGCGCTGTGGGTCTGAAAGGATGTGTGGCTGTCAAGAAGAACCTCACTGAGAAAAGGAGACGAGAACATCTGCAGTAGAACACCAAACTCAACATCTAAGATGTGGAAGAAGGTATTATGGGCTGAAGAGTCTAAATCTGAGTTCTTTGGAGGGAACAGAAGCCATGAAAGAGTCTTCAGACCATCAGTCGAGCTCGGTGGAGGATCAGCGCAGGTTTGAGGATGTAGAACAACATCTGGAGCTGGAGATCAGTTTCTGATTGAAGTCCATCATCATGCAGTACCTTCTTAATCTACAGCAGGATAACGACCCCAAACACACGGCTGAGAAGCTGAACAATGGACTGACCACCCCAGAGTCCAGACCTCAACACCACTGAATGTGTTTGATTACTTCAGAAAATGATCAACCAGCTTCTAAGACTGAACTTTGGAGGTGTGTCTGCAGATTCTTTGAGGAACTGAAAGTGAGTTTTCTGAAAAGAATGGAAGCTGTAAAAAAGGTAAAGAGTGGACACAGTAAATACTGAAAAAAATGATATTATATTTAGTTGTTGAGGCTTCTGTGTAAAGTCTGTTAAATGTGTTTTTTTGCTTTTTTCTTGATGCTGAAAAATGAATAACTTGTACTTAATGGCTGTTTTGACTGGAAATCAAATAAATGAAAAGATGGTCTCTGACTTTGTGATACCATAGATGAATTTTTTTGTTGCTTTTGAGGTTTTCTGTTTATTTGTATGCACTTTTTAATTATTATATTTATTATTAATACTGTTTGCATCATTTAGAAAATAATACTTGAGTGTTTTTGTGCATGCGGACACTTTACAGTGGAAACTTTACTCATTTCATTCCTGTCTGTTTTTCAGGAGGGGTTCAAAATGGGACTAACAGTAGAGGGCACTGTCTTCTCCCTCGATCCACTCGATGGTCGCTGCTGATGCCAAGAAGACATTTTTGTTACGTAACTGTTAGCCCATTTGTATTAAAGTGCCAAACTTGGGTCTACAGTCAAGATGTCAATGTTGAGATTTCTATGTCTTTGCATTTGAATTTGGTTTACAAAAAAAGAAGTATATTCAAATCAGAATGCTAGATCACTATTTTTGTAAGAACTGTATTGACGTAGTTTTGAGGCCCCTTGCGTGTGCAGGCACTTGAGGATGTAGATAGTCCTACCAATGGTACACTCTGTGGTGAAGATTTCACACAAATCACCAATAGTTTTCCTGAACTCGCCGTGTCCACATCTAATCTCTGTCTCTATGTCGTCATCACTCCAGACAAACGTCCATCGTATCATGGCATGCAGAGGTTACTTAGATATTCATAGTTACTTTTACTTTAGAAACGTCAAACTAATGCATTAACACACATAATACTGGAATCTCACCGTTCTTTTACTAAAGTAGATCACAGGAAAGATCACGTTTGTTTTCTTGTTTACTGCAATGGATCCATTGTAATATTTTCTTAACTGGACATCAATATTTTTGATGGTTTTATAACTGCATAGCTGGATTATTTGCATAATAATGTGTACTTGTATTGCATTTTAATTTGGTATTATATATTTTAGTATATTCTTGCACCAGAAAGCACTTTGGGGGGGAAAAAAACTCTGTCCATATGTTATTTACTTGGTCTTTTACTTTGTATGCAGTATTTTAGCCTTTGCTGTTGTAGTCATTAAAGACAGTACTATGAGAACTTCTTGTTGTCTGTTAGTCTTTGCATGTCTTGTGTAACATGTAAATAAAAGGAATGATAGTCATATGCAAACATTTGAACACGCTTGGTCAAAATGTTTTGTTGATTTTCTAAGTGTAAATAAGTAAATACATCCTCTAGAGAGACACACTTAAATATGACATTTTTCTACAAATTCTAGAACACAATGTCTATTTATTTGCTGACTTTAATATATTAGAGAAAAAAAATCAAACATAAAATATAAAATGTGCTATGATGTCTGCACAGGCCTTTTTTTCAAAACAGTATGTTGAAGCTGCACTATGTGAGATATGTTTATTAAAACTGAAATAAGTATCGTTACTGAGTGAGGAGAATGAAAACAGGCTAAAATATGGTGACCATGCACTTCTGTAAGTCGCCCTGTAAAGCCTGAAACCAAGTCCGAGGTGTCGGGTTGGGAGCTTTTCGGGTCACGTTGTACGTCTTTATGTGTTAACGTCACAAGCACAGGCTCAAAAAGAAGGTTCAGCTCAATGTTTAGCTCTCAAATGCAAAGTCAACATTATACTGATGAAGATATGATGACAATAGTAGATAATTCACTAAGTTTTGACTGAGTTCTCTTTGAATTCCCTTCCAATGCACTCGCAATCATCAGATTCATCCCCTCAGAAAAGGGGTCCAAAGCAGAACCCACTTTATACAATATTTAACACATTGCTTGCAATTACACATTTCCACCAGAGGGGTCTCCAAGTACAGTTGCACAGTGTAGCTTTAAATTCAGCAAATAAACAGTAATTATCCTTTAAAATGTGCAGGAGTTTGTTCTCTGTAGAGCACGTGCACTTATTTTCACTTAGAAAATCTTAGTACCACGCACTTCATGTGTAGTTTGAAAAAGCAGTGCAAATATTGCTTAGTTTGAGTGGTTTATTATGGTGTATGACAAGAATAATTGATACAGTTGAACAAAAGAGACTGAATCAATATTTCAAACCAGTTTTCCTGAGTTTATACTTCTTGTGTTAATAATTGTGCTGTTGTTTTCACAAGATTTTAAAGGTCTAACTTCTTAGCCCGTCTCTCATCTAATTTCGAATCATTTCAACATGGTCTTCCAGCTTCTCTGGACTCTTTCCTGGAGAATTTCTCATGCATGGTGAAAGTGAACTTCAGTTGTGTCCCCATGAACTCTTCTTCTTCCACCCAGCTTCCTGGCGTGATAGCAGGACCAGAAGAGCTTTCAGTGGAGATCCGGCCTGATCATCCTGGAGTTTCCGAACAAGAGTTAAGGTGCGGTCGTCCGTTTTATAAAAGGCATTATTTCTTTCTCTTCGGAGCTTGTTTGTGCTTATTCCGTCACCGTTTGATCTTTCTGAGTGTCACATATTAAAAAAAAAAATATTCACAATGTTACATATTGGCATAATATCAGATTTTACAGAACTAAGTACAATACTAAGACACTGGAGGGTCAGAAATACAATAGGTAAGTTATAAAGTGGAGAATTCTCACTGCTGATCTTTTGCAAACTACAAAACAGCTTATCAGCAGTGTTAGTAAACAAGCTTAATCTAAGTATATTACAATACAAAAACAGTAGTTCTTAAATACGTACCAAACACTTCAGTCATGTTAATGTACATTCATTACTTTATTTCTACTAAGGAATATTTCATGCATCAAAAGAAGGAATGAACAAATACGAGTAATCGAAACAACCTTGAAAGTATCAAGCGAAATGCTCTTCATTGACAACAAAAAGGGAAACAGGAATCACCATGTATATGTTTTAATTTGCAAAGCAAAATACATAAAAACGTCTTTCCAGCCAGTTTTGCAACAGGCATTTAAAGACTTTGGTCTTGTGCAAGGCTGGTAAAGTGTAACATGCTTCAGAAAATATAGCTACTTAATAATTAGCTATCATGGCCTACTCTTACGTACGGTTTTACCTAACAGAAAAAGGCATGCCCAATCCAGTAATGTCGCAACATACGCATTGATTTTTGGCCTTGAATTCGCAAAGTATCCTCTTGTGATTAGAACAAAGTACATGCTTATCTACAGCAGCTATAACCCATGAAAGTACTACATAAGTATACCATGCAATAGGCGTCATGTATGTGATTAAAATAACGAAATAATGAAACGATGCACCTTTTTAATGAGACACTGAGTTTGCGTCGTCATCAGTGTTGGAGAGCTTTTATTTGCATTCCCTCACCCTGCGCTGTACCTGTAACCGGGAGAAGCGCTGTGACACCATCGACCTCTCCCAGTTCATAGAGACGAGGTAGCTTACGCTAATGAATCAATGTATTCAGTTTTAATGGTCAATTGCATTCAAACATCATACAAATGTAACAGATTAGATATCATTTTTGTAGAAACAGCATCGTTTTTTTTTCCACAGAAACTACTCACGCCAGAAGGCCGAAGTTTCCTCTGTAGCACCATGTGTTTTGTTTTGGAAAACAAATAAAAAAAAAAATAAATCACAATAGAAAAATATGTAAATTCATACAATTTCTAAATGGGTCTTATTGTTGTTACAGTAGCCTTTCAAACTTTTATTTCTCAAACTGATAGAGTGAACATCACAATTTCAGACAGCAGTTAGACCGTAATTCGCTAATGAAGCTTTGGTTGTCATAGTCAAGCCAAACAGAGTTTGCATTTCTTTTCTTTTCAGTATTTCAATTCAGAAATATGCTAATAGGGGACCGTCTGCTGCAATGTCACGAAGTAATTGGAAAGGCACAATAAATATCCTGATTACAGGGCCGGAACAGTCCGCTGTACTTGTATGTACAAGGCTGAGCTTGTCAGCAGTTCAAGAGTCTCAGGATTCTCTTCAAAGCATCTCCTCTGTCTGCTTTACAAGAAGCAAACGGGCCCAATGTCGATGCCAAACTCCTGATCAGGACCACGAATGTCCACAGGGGCAATATCCACAATGGGTAACCTCGCCGTTTTCTGTGTCCTGTATTCAAAAACGGTCTTACCCCAGTTACCGTTCGCTTGCTGTGAGGGGAGAAAGAGAGAGATATGATTTTAGATGCTCACGGGGAGATTGAATCGCCTGTGAATTGAATTGAAAAATGAGCAAACTGCTGACTCCAGGCACTGAATATTCCTCCAGTAAATCAATTCAGAACTGTCTACACTCTTAAGCAACATCAATAATGTATCACGCAGGGCTTGACATTTCAATATAACCACTCAGTGAAGAGGAATTTAGGAGTCATGTTTCCTTTTCCTACACCTGGGGGAAGAAGAGAAGAAAGACTTACGGAGCAGCTGTCCTCCAGCACGGTGTATCTGAAGCGGTTGTTTCCCTCAGCTTTGAGCTCGAGATCATTGGAGGCCTTGAGAATGACTGCTTTCTTCAGGTTTCCGGTTGCTTCATCTTTGTAGCCCACTGTGTTCTTGCAGTGGTAAGTGATGGTTTGCGAGGCCTCCTTTGAAAGCAGGCGGATGAAGGTCATCTGGACTGTGACCGAGTTGGCTGGTTGGTCTTTGTTTCCGTAGGTGAACTGAACAAACACAAGGCCTTATGTCAGACTCGTCATTCTTATCCTTTCATCTTTGTCACTGACAGGACAAAACTGTGTATCTCTGTTTTTTGTTGTTTTTTTTTGTTGTTGTTTGCTTGTTTTTCACTTTTTCAGGTAATTTGAAGATGCCAGCTGCCCTGTTCATGACTGGGGCTAATGGGTATATCCAAAAAGATTGGAATAAATTTCTCAGTTCATTTCCAATAAAAATTTAAGAACATTTCCTTCCTTCTCTTATAAAGTTACTGTTTTGGAGTTGCAAGGTTTTGTTCTGAAAATGACAATATACAGGCCAGTACATTTTACGAAATGTACTCTAAAGTTACTGCAAAACGTATATAATGAAAAGTTCAAGCATTTTGCAATACTTAAAAGTTTGGGCGCTCCTGGTCAAATTACAATTTGGTAAATTTCACTTTGTACATTTTGTTAATTTTAATTTTAGAGTGAAAATAAGTTAAGATATCCAGAATTTTAATGCACAATTAATGTTTTATTTTGATTTTATTTTTTACATGTTAAACTCATATAAAGTATACGCTCATATAAAGCAAATAAATAAAAATTGCGCATTAAAAATTGCAGAAAAGATGCAAGTGTGTTTGTGTGTTCTCTGTAGAGGATGTGTTAATGTCATTTGACCAGGGGTGCCCAAACTTTTTGCCAAAGTAGAGTATTGCTGGTGGGCCAAGGACCGAAAAATGTTTCATTATGTTATAGTATATTTTTTTGGTAAAATACTTAAAGGAATGCAAAATGAACATAAGAGTTTAACAAATTATATATAGTATCACAACAGAAAAAAAAAATATGTAAATTCATTCAATTTCTAAATAGGTCTTATTGTTGTTACAGTAGCCTTTCAAGCTCACTTTTAATTTTCAAACTGATGGAGTGAACATCACAGTTTCAGATAGCAGTTGATAGACCATAGTTTGCTGATCAAGCTTTGATTATCATAGTCAAGCCAAACAGAGTTTGCAATTCTTTTTTTTTTTTTCAGTACCTCAATTAAGAAAATATGCTAATAGGGGACCGTCTGCTGCAATGTCACGAAGTAATTGGAAAGGCACAATAAATATCCTGCTACAGGGCCGGAACAGTCGGCTGTACTGTATGTACGAGGCTGAACTTGTCAGCAGTTCAAGAGTCTCAGGATTCTCAGGATTCTTGATTTACAAGAAGCAAACAGGCCCAAAAAATGCCATATGTAGGTTTGTTCTCTGTAGATGATGTGATAACTTATAATCACTTAGAAACTCAACAAAACATGTCATTTGACCAGCGGTATACTTGCATATGACACTATATAACATGACCCTATAAATCTGGGGTGCCTAAACTTTTAGCCAAAGTCCAGTATTGCTGATGGACTGAAGACCAAAAAACATTTCTTTATGTTATACTATATTTTGTTGGTAAAACACTTAAAAATACATTAAAACATA